CAGACAGACTTCAATCTGAACTCGTAAAGTTCTTCTTTATAATTTTCGCTGTCATTTTCATGAATGGACACTTCCTTATATCAGAGGCAGGAAACATAGCCTTATATGGTGTTTTTGTGGTGGTAATTATGCTAATCTCCTTTCGCGTGCACGAGCAGCTGGATACGAACAGGTGGAATTTCAATGAATAAATACAAGTTCTACAATAAATGCAGATTGGTACCAACAAAGATTGTAAAATCAGCAGTGTGCACACAATCGAAATCAAATCTCTAAACTTACTGGGTGTGCCCAAAATCTAAAATGATTCAAATCAGAGTAACTCATAAATATACAAATTGTTCACAATTGATTCAAATGTACAATATGTTCATCACAAATTACTAACAACAATATTCTTCTGGAAGGTTTTCTCCCACCTCAAAACTGCTTCCTCTATGTGAATGTGTATGTGTAAAGTCAAATGTTCAAAATTTCAGGTACTAAGTCTATTTGTCCAAATGTTCGTCCAAAGGGCAGGGGATAAAAAATAAAATAAAAAATGTTGGTAGTTTAGTGTGAAGTAGGATTTGTTGTAGTGGGCCTACTACACCGCACAGTGTAGTAGCAGCTGGGCTCGATCAACAGTGGGGTTGGCTCGCCATCAAACGCTGGTCCCGGAGGGTTGAATAAGGGAAGGGGGGAGGGAAAAAAAACAAAACCTGACCTGTACACAGACAGTGTTATAAAATATCATAAGTTTCCAAAATCATTTTCATTTACATTCACTCTGACTGTAAATGTATATTTTTAGTATTTCTTTGATGTAAAACATTCTAATAAAATAACAATACATGATGCATGAAAGGGTTTATACTTACACTTCTTATAACAAGGTTATAAGAGTAACTTTATTAGCAAGGGATCTCTTTATTTTGGCTAAACATTTCTTTAGTGCCAAAATGAATGGACACAAAAGTAACTCAGTCAATGAATGTTGATTTGAACCATAATWTGCGATCGTTTATTTTACAAATCATACAAAATTAACTAGAGTACACCTGATTGTGAACGATTAATTTCCTATAAATGTTTTGGGACCAACAATAACAAACTTTTAACTTCTTAATTGTTAACCACACTTAAATAGAAACACAAACGTCAGTTTAGATGTGAAATACCAGACATTTGAGGCTGTTTATCTTAGGAGTTGGCAAGGAAGAGGTTAAGAAAAAGGATGGAAGGAAGATGTTAGCTTTYCTAYACTTTATCTTAAATAATGTGGGTTTAACCAGAAGGGCGAAGCGTTCTGTCCTCAGCTTTGGCTCAGGTTTTTTGCCAGGTAGATGGGGGCGCTGCTGGCGAATCTGTCTTTAAACCGTCGAACAGGGGACCCCAAGGCGTGCTCTTTGATTCGTTTACGTCCACGTCAGCCGTAACCAGAAAACAAGGCCTCGACTGGAACCCAGGTTTTAAATAAAACTTCCGTCTGGAGAGTTTCTGAAGGTGGATAAACCAGGCGTTGGTCTCCCACACTGTGAGGTTTCCCCGTTGGCGTGAAGGGGCCAAACCTGACACAGTTTTCAGCTTTTGATTCCCCGGAGAGAATCTAGCTGTCACAGTGACTGATGGCGGTCAKTCACCTTTTTCTCACTCTCTTTCTTTTCTCTGTACTGGATGGGCGGAAACTGTTAGTTCCTAAAAGCTTAGAGAATCTATGGTCCGCCCTCCGGAAGGTTAGATTAGAAAAGAAATTATCAAGGAAGTGCTAGTTTCAGAACTCGCTGTGCCCTCCTGAAACAAAACAAAGATTATTGCTGCTGCTGTGTGGTTCAGAACAAAACATTTTATGACCTATTTAAATTATCTGATGAGCACTTATTTAAAACATAACTGAAAGAAAAATGAATTGCTTCAAGTTCAAAATATTTGCAAATATGATTCAGACAAGTAAAACA